GCCGTGGTCAGGAGCTGCTGTTCACGCGGGTCCACACTTTCATAGTGTCTTTTGTACAAATTGTTTATTTTCATTCTTCCTTGTGAATGGGCCGCCTCAGCGCTCAGACAGAGAGACAAACTAGAGTTGTTTGGTATTGCTAAATCTCTCTCTCTCTCTCTCTCTCTCTCTCTCTCTCTCTCTCTCTCTCTCTCTCTCTCTCTCTCTCTCTCTCTCAGCCAGGAGTGGCTGCGCGGTGGCAGGGAGAGTGTTCGCGATGGGGATGGTGGCCTCTCGCTCGACGGACGACGCGCTGACCACTCCACGTCGGTCGCCTGCTTGCCCCCCCGAGGCAGACGGCAGGCCTTTGGCAGGGGCGTCGAAGCGCGAGAATGTATCAAACTGGGTCGAGAGTGAGGGCTCGCCAACTAGAGAGCCGCAGCCCTCTCTATTCTGAAACGACGGCCTCGCGCTCGGTGGACGACGCATCAAGCACATCCACCTTCTCGCCCACTGCGGGGGGCGTCGCAACGCCGTTGAAACGTGAGAAGGCGAATCCGGTCGCGTGAGGGCTCACCATCTCGTAGTCGGACGCCGTACCAGAGATGGCCCCCTCTGCCTGGGCGCTAGTGGTGAAGGAGCCCTCCCGAGGGTACCTGTCGACCTACGGGTGGACTTTCTATTTTATCACGCTGCGTCGCTGTCAGCAGGCAAGGCGTGGGCTATCTAGGGTCACCTGGCCGTAGCGCACGAGCCCTGGCGTGGCAAACGACTGGCCTACTCGCAACACATGCTTCGTGTTGCGAGGGTTACCTGGGGCCGGCGGTGGACGGCGCAGAGCCGGCTGCCGATGATGCCATGCGGCTTGTCCCGAGACGGAGCGTTGCCGCGAGCAGCGAAGCCAATGTCGAGCCGGTGCGCGGGGCCGGCGAGCAGGCAGCCCTTGCACGAGAGCGTGCCCCGGACCGACACGGTCCAGTTGCGGAATGCGAAGGTGGCGCTCGAGTGGTCCATCGCCATCTTGAGGTCGAAGCACTCCTTCTTGCCTCGGAACCCGAACTTGAATGGGCGGCCGACGCAGGTCCCGTTGATCACCCTCCATCCAAAGTTGTTTGGGTCGAGCTCGGACGCCCAGAATGACGCGGTGGCGAGCTTCCGCGAGGAGAGCTGCGCGGTGACGTGGGCCTCGGTGAGGAAGGAGCCGTTGACCTTGAGAGCGCCGCCGTGTAGCGTGAAAATCGCCTCCTCCGTCTTGACGTTGACTGATAGGTCTGGCACGGACAGAAAGTTGTACAGCGCGTTGTGGCGGCCGCGGAGGTCAGCAGAGCCTCCATACGCAAAGTTTATGTGCGGATCTTTAACGGCCCGGCCCGTCGGAACTGATACCGCGCCGGGGGGCGGCAAGGGGGCAGGGGGTGCCGAGGGAAAGGGCGGCATGGGTGCGTACATGAGCGGGTTTGGATCGGAAGCGCCGACGTACTCAATCTGGGGGCAAGGCGCCACACCCCAGCACCAGCCTACCCCCCCAGTCTCAGACTCGCCCCCCGCACACCCGATGGTTGGGGTTGTCTTTGTCGGCCTCTTTAGGGGACTGAAGTAGCCCATCATGCCAGTGTTGAAACCTTGGTCGTTGACTGTCCATACGAGCCCAAACTGTGGGTCTGCTGGATCGATCTCCTGGCAGTCGGGGTACTTGGTGCACCAAAGGTGGCCCTTGTCGTCGCCCAGAGCGCAGCCAGGCGTCGGCTTGGCGCTAGAAGCCAGATTGCAGTTTTGTAGCGGTTGCTGCTCGTCGGTTAGGGTGTCCAGCAAGCGGGCAAAAGGCCCCTCTGGGTCGTGGTCAAAGACAACGCAGTCTGACTGCCCGCCAGAAATAGGGCACGTCGCAAAGTAGATGGTGTTCGCATACATCTTTCCTGGTGCGCGTGGGGTATATGGAGCCATGGATCCACTTTTCAGGTACTGCGCGTCGTTCTTGATGGGCGGGTTGCGCTGGTTCCAAATAAAGTACTCCTGTTTGCGCGAAGATTGATACGCATGCCGCACGGCACCGCAATGCGCGCGATAGTTGTCCCACCACGGGTAGAAGAGCACGCACATATGAATCATGCGGCCAGTATTGACGGCGTAGCGCCCGCAAATTTCTTGCTGCTCCTCTTCGGACTGATCGGAATCGGGGCCGAGCCGCAGTTCTGGAATCAGCGGCGCACAATAGCCGCGGTGCTCGTTGGGGCACATATTCATGTCCAGGACGTAGGAATTCTTGCCGATTCCGCCGGCCTCCTCGGAACATATGCCAGGGCACGTCGTACTCCTAGGGTCGGTCCCGCCGCATGCGTCCTGTGTCGAGAGGAGGGTGCGCCCTGCCAGTACATGGCAGAGCCCACGAGGATTCCACCCGTGCATCCGATTCTCACGACGCGTATCGCCCGATGATCCGCGGCAATCCTGCCCACACTCGTAGGAGAAGTCCGCGTTTGGTCCGTCTTGGTAGGTCGTATCAACGGTCGTTGGACAGGTCCAGGTATTCCTCCAGTCTGCCAATGTCCGAGTGTTGGCATCGCAGCTGAGCACATAGTCATACTCCTGGACAACGGAGGGTTCGCAACGGCCATAGTTCACGGCGCTGTATGTATCCCATACAACATTGGTTGGTCTCGCAGCGCGAGGGTCGTTGATCCAGCCAACGCTAGCGAGCGATGGGTCGAGTGAGTTTATGCAGTCGCGACAAGCGTGGCAAGCGTACCCATCATCAGTCCATTCGGAACCAGGACCAGCCCAGGACGCTCTCTTGACAGACGTCTTTCCGTTGCAGCCCGGCTGAGCGCTGCTCCAAAAGCAGAGTTCGGTGCAGTTGACGCAGTCAAGCTCGTACCGGGGAGATGTTTCGGACAGTTGCAGATTTGAATCAACCCAGTAGCTGCCGGCTGCATAAGGCACGACGAGCAGGACTGCGACGGAAAGGGCCGGAGGCACGCGCATATTGTGTTCTACTGAGAATGCGCACGATAAGCCAAATTGGGGTGAATTGGAAATGGCAAATAGCGCAAAGCGCCCGCCGTCCGAATTCGCCAAATACAAATCGGAGAATCGCTACACAGCGCATATACACACCGTAAACACATCTCACATGAGTCATGACCGAAATGCGAAATCCGAAAATGTGTTTCGTTTGGATGAAAAGTTACAAAGTTTCTCCCTGTGAGGTATGAGCTGTGTGCACAGCGCCGGGATACGCACACCCTGGACGCTGGAGCCACAGACACACTGCTCGAGCCTCGACGTGGCCCCAGCAGCTCGCGCGCCGCGGTCGGTCTCCCCGGCAAGCAAAAGGTTCAATGGCTCGGCTCCAGTCCCCCCCCTCCACCCCCCGTCGACGCGCGTCCCCGCTAGACAATGTTGAGCGAGTCGATGAGCCAGCGCCCATTGTGCCTGGAGAGCATGAACTCGATCAGCGTCCAGCTCTCCTCGCCCGAGCGTCGCACGAGCACTGTCTGCTCCGCCGTCGAGCCAACCTGCTCGCGGGAGCGGCGGCTGAGGGCGTCGCGAGGCGACGGTGGTCGCCTCGGGCGACACAGGGCGAACGCACCCAGTCGCCGCCTCCGCCCTCCTCCTCCTCCTCCCACCTCCTCCACCTCGTCCCACTGCGTCAGGATCGCATAGTGCGGCTCGTCGAGGTACGTCGCAAACGTGGCGGGCGTGAGCTGCGCCGCCGGGTTGGTCGGCGAGCAATAGCGGATGGCAACCTCTGCGCCGTACAGTGGGTACGGCGGCTCGTCCCTCAGCGCGCGCAGCACCTGCAGCAATATTCGCGTGCCGCCGCTCGTGACACTCACAGCACGCGCGAGGCTCGAGGCTCCTGTGGCAGCGCGTGCGCACCTTTGTGACGACGTCGTGCGGCGACTGCGCTGCGTCGGCGGTCGCGCGGACGCCGTCCGTGACAAGGCGCGCAAAGGACCCCGCCGCACTGGCCTACGAAGCCGGTTCGGGGAGAGAGCCGCGGTCGAGGTGGGGCCTGGGGTAGGGCGTGTGCGTCCAATCTGCTCTGGGGAGAGGCGTGATGCGACGCGCCTGCTGGTTGACCTTGGAGAGCAGGGCGGAGAACTCGCCGAAGGTGATCGCGCCGTCGCCGTCCGTGTCGGTCGCCGCGGCGAGCGCCTCGGCCTGCTCGCGGGGGAAGCCGAGCGAAGCGACGACACCGACGAACGACTCTGGCGAGATGGCGCCGCTCTCGTCCGTGTCGAGCTGTGCGAAGATCTGTCGCCGCTCGGGCTCCTCGAGGGGCGCGAGCGGCTCGACGGCGGCCAGCTCGGCGTCGTCGGGCTCGTCCACGAAGACCGCCTCCACCATCCACTGCGAGGCGCCGCTGCCCTCCACCTCCTTGGAGGTCAGCAGCCAACGCACGGAAGTCCACGTGGCGTCGGCCGACGCGCGGACGGACGTCTGCTGGTAGGCTTCGCCCTGGATGAGCGTTGTGTCGCCATCCCAGCGGTACTCGTCCCACCCGAGCAGACTCGCCTTGTGAGGCTGCCGAAGATACCGAGCAAAAGACGCCGCTGAGTACTTTCCGGACCGCTCAAAGTCAGCGCGGTACTGGTGCGTCGGCGAGATGAAGCGGAGGGCCGCCTCGTAGCCACCGGTGCCCCGGTTGGAGCGGTGTAGCGCGTGGAGCATCGTCGCGACCACCTCACGGGGCTGCAGCGCAGGCGCAGGAGACGCGGTGGCGAGCGCAGCGCTGTCCGTCTCGGACGGCGGGCCGTGCGGCTGCGAGGTCTTCGCGATCGCCTCAAAGCAGGCGGGCGGGCGGGCGACACGCGGACGCGAGCATCTGGGGGCAGACGCGCGGAACGCGACGGAGCTGGTGATCAGGTAGGAATAGAGCAACATCATTTTGCAGGAGGCGGCGAGAAGAATTGCGGCAGCCCAGCCGCCAAAGGCTCCAGGTTCGAGGATCGCTTTGCTTTGCGGCTCCCTGCCCATCTCCCTGGAGATGACTGCTCTATTTATTTATTTATCCCTGCCCATCAACACTAACGTATTCGTAACTCACTTCTCTCCTGCCGGTGTGTCTGGTGCTCGCGCGACGTGGCACTCCGAGGTCGACGATACCGTTCCCGGCTCGCCGACGCCCACGCTGCTGCTCGGCGTCGGCTCGGGGCCACTCGGCTCGGGCTGCTGCTCCTCGGTGCGGGCGCCGCTGTCACCGGCACCGGCACCGGCAGCAGCGGCGGAGAGCAGCCTCCGCTCGAGCTCGTTTGCTGCCTGTGGGGGCGCCTGCGGGTCGAGCGGGGCGCGGCGGCGCGGCGGCGACTTGGCCCCCTGCTGCGCGCGCTGTAGGAGGCCGTCCACCTGCACCAGACGCGGCGGCGGGGGGAGGGGTGGGGCCCCCGTGGTGCGGCGTGGGCACGGGATGTCAGGTCTGGGCCGTCCTGCTTGAGCCGGAGAAGCAGCCCGCAGCCCAGGAAGATGCAGAGCCAGTTGATGACCACCATGGCGACGCCTGTAGGGCGCGGGGCCGTCCGATATCGAGGGGTGGGTGGGGGTGGGCGCGCCGGTGCCGGCGTGGTGCGGTGCCAAGCATCGCCGCCCGCAGCTTGGAGGCGGCCATCTCTTGGTCCTGCGAGAGAGCGGCGCGTGCCGAGAGGACGAGGTTGATGCCAGAGCCGACCACGGGTGGAAGGATGGAGGTTGCAATGGCGACTCCAACCACGGTGTCGGAGAGCGCGCTCGTGACCTATTACACACCAACGTGAACTGCTGGCGGGATGAAGGGGACCACGCACGGAGCTATCTGACGGACAGGTAGACCGCGAGGGCGAGGGCGGCGCCGGAAGGCAGCGCGATGAGCGCGCCGACGAGCAGGTCGGCCTGTTTGTAGTGGAGCACCTCCAGCGTCGGGTCCTCCTCGTGCGGATCTGCCAACGAGCCGCTGGCGATGCAGACTCCGCCGACAAGGCTGCCCACGAGCAGGCAGAGCAGCAGTCCGGCGCACTCGTTGCGACACCCCTTGTACACCATCCGCTTGTCACCGACGCAGGTGCCGAGTGTCTGCGCCATGATTGGAGCCATCAGAGGGCTGAGCAACATGGACGCCGTCACGAAGATTGGTTGGTCGGTGGCAAGACCGACGGCGCAAACGGTCGAGGCGATCGCCGTCGTGAGGACAAAGTCGAAGGTGAAGTGGAACGTCTCGTCGATTCGCTGGTAAATCTCGTCGAGTGACGTGCGGTCGCTCACGCGGACGCGGCGTCGCCGAGGGCCGCTCCCGCCGCGTCGGGCATATGGGGTGGAGGAGAGCACCTCCAGCACCTCCAGCCGCCCGTGCGCTGGCGTGGTGCAGCCGAGACCGTGGTTGGCGAGCGTCTCTAGCACGCGTGCCTTGGCGAGGGAGGTCAGCGTGAAGAGCAGCAGCACTACCTCGTCGCCAGCGCGGACACCGCGCAGCTCCGTGTGCGGAACGCCGGCCTCGGTGAGCACGCGCCGCGCCGACTCGAGCGGCGCCATCGAGGCGGCCGGGAGTGTGAGTTGGCCTTGACGCATCGTGCTCAAACTGCTCGCGCGCTAGGCAGGCGGTCGAAGGCGGCCGATATGCGATGGCGGTCAATGGCGGCGCGAGGGTAGACGAAAAGGCGGCTCGATGGCGGCGCTAGGGATCCGTCGAAGGCCGGGGGGGGATATCGTTTTCTTTTTGGGCGACAGTCTCCCTACAAATCGAGGGAGAGCGCCTCTACATCGCTCTACATCTGCATCGCTCTGTCCCGCGCCGGATGTAGAGCTCTACAGCTCGACAGCGCTCTACATCTCTACAGCTCTACAGCGCTCTATACACTCTACATCCTCTACACCCTCCCTCACAGAAGAAATTTCGCCACCCCGCACCCGGGTAGGAACCTGGAAACGACAGTTCGCTTGGGTAATCTGGAAACGACATATCATTTCGCCGTGATCGGGGCCGTGTTGGGTGAAAAGCGCCGAAATATTTATCCATCGGATTATTACATGTGAAAAGGCTTCCTGTCAGCATGTATTCTTTTTTGGCTTCTGATTCCGGGGTAGCAAGGGTAGGTCTGGGCCCTCCTGGTCGGGTGTTTCCCTCTCTCCAATTTTCACAGCAGAAAAAGAATTTAGCAGGCGGCCGTGACCCACAGGTGGTTGCTTCCCCCAGGATTAGTCTTCTCTGCCTGCGGGCTCGTATGTCCTTCTCGGCAGCTCGCCTCGCCGACCTACCTCGTCTGGTGCCCTTACCCGCGCCCGGCGTGTGCCTCGCCAGCTCGAGCAGGACCGTGAAGAGGACGGAGTGGAACGCCGCCGATGCGGCGTACGCCCCTTCCCCCTCGCTCTTCTCCCTCCCGAGGTCTTGCAGCTGCCCCTGTATGTGCGACACGATCCTCGCGTGCGAGGTGGTGGGGAGTTGCTCCCCCGTCGCCTCGAGTCGTCTACGTCAAGTAGGAGGCCATCCACCTTCCCGCCCCCCCCCCTCCCACCCAGGGCTCGTACCTGCGCGAGGTCGTCTAGGCGGCCGCCGGCCGCCTCCTTCCCTCTGCGCGCCGGCGCCAGCACGTCTGCCCCTACCACCGACGTCGAGCCCATTGCGCACACGCGTCGTAGCGGAAAGGAATGTTCCGCAAATCACGCAACCCTGCCCAAATGGGTGATCTGATGCTTGTAGGGTTTGAGAGTGACCTGCCATGTACCGGAGTGATTTTTAGTTTCCTGATTGGATATCTCCTCTCTGGCCAAGCAAAAAAAGAACACACTGCGTTCTGCGCGGAGAAGACCTCGCGATGTAACCCGATTGTGAGCGTGAAACTGCCGATGCGATTGCTAGCGTAAGGCAGAGGCGAGGGCTGCAGAGTTTTCAGCATCAGGTCTGGCCAAGCAAAAAAGCTCCAATCGGGTTACATCGCGGTTAGTGGTGCACTAACCTCCGAGAAACCCTTCGGGTCGCTCCTCATCCATCGCAAACCCTGTCAGCAGAGTCCTCCGGCGGGAATGAATGTACGTAAGAGCCACATACACTGAGAGAGAGAGAGCCGCGCGTAGGGCCCTTAGGGGCCTAGAGAACACAACCCCCTCTCCCTTTTCTCCTCGCCGTGCAAAGCTCGCTTCCGAGCTCTCACGCCGCGCGTAGGGCCCTTAGGGCTTAGTTAGGGGCCTAGAGAACACAACCCCCTCTCCCTTTTCTCCCAGTAAGCTAAAAGTACGTACACTGAGAGAGAGGGCCCTTAGGGGCCTAGAGAACACAACCCCCTCTCCCTTTTCTCCCAGTAAGCTAAAAGTATCCCCTGTACTCGTATCCCTCTCTTCCCGCCCTGATGTTGGTGCATTCATCACTCAGGTGTGGTGGTCCGAAAGCACCGGCAACTTCGGCTCGCCGACGGCGCTCCAGCTTCTGCTCCGCACGCTCCTCGCTGCTTGGCGCGTGTGGCGCCTTCTGCAGGCCTCCCCCCTCCTCCGCGCCTCGTGGCATCGGCAGGCGCGCTCGCCAAACACGCTCGGCGCGGAGCAGTACAAGATGATTTGGGTCTGCCGAGATGCTGAGCTAGCGGCCGGCTACATCCCGCGGGTCAACCTGCTGGTGGACGAGCTGCACCGTAGCCTGTACGGCAAGCCGGCTACCGCCTCCGAGTGGAAAGACCGGCTTGGCCACTTCATCGACTTCACAATCTACGTCACTGACACCGACGACGACAGCGTGGCACGCCTCAAACGCACCGCGTCGGCAACGAACCCGCACCTGTTTGGAGCTCGGTTCGGACCGTGGTACCTGCGGAAGGCAGCATCGTCTACGAGCGGCCGGACCTCCTCGATGTGATCCTCACGGAGAAGCAGCGGCAGATCGTCAACTCCACGGTCTCGGGGCGAAGGGGTCGCCCGCCTTCACAGTCCCCTGCCCCCCGCCCGCACCTCGGAGAACGAGTGTGTTGCGCCCTTCGGCGTGGCACTCCTGGACACCACTTTTCTGGCCCTCTGTGCTCTGATACGTGCCAGCTCTGTTTTTGTGTTGCTCCCGGACTGAGTCCCCTCTTGCGTACGTACACTGCTCCCGCCGTGGAATGCTGAGCAGTTACTATTGGGGTCCCGTACCATGCGGAATCGACCCTATCCAGTGCTCAAGTGCTCAAGTTACTATTGAACCGAAAACCCTTGGCCAATCATCGCTCCCGACCGGCGACGTGGCCAAGGTGGAAAGGAGCACACGGACGGAAACTCGGGACGCGTCCGTCCCGCTACGCCGTACGCGCTAGACTCTACTAGCCGCTCCGCTTAGGCGCGCAATGACTTTCACTACCCAGCTGTCTCACTACGAGCCAGACACGCGGCGCCGCGTCACCTACCTGCGCGCGCGAGCCGACGACGACCCGCCAGCCTACGCCGGGTCGACGCAGACGCTCGAGACGGTCATCCACGACGCGCGGGCCAGCTCTCAGTCTCACACGCTTGACGAGTCAGCGTTTGCGCTCGTCCAGCATCCGACGGCGCTGAAAAATGAGGACTTCTACTCGGAGCGCGTGGTGAGCGACTACTACGCCGAGATGCAGGATCTGCTGAAGAAGCACACCGGAGCCACGCACGCCAAAATTTTTCACCACCAAGTACGCTGCGCGGAGAAGAGCAACGCGTCCGTTGCAAAGGACGGTTCGTTCGACACGTCGACCTCGGTGCAAGGATACGCGCACGGGATCCATACCGACTCGAGCGGCCCACACGCCGAGACGCTGTGGCGGCACTTTGTGCAGGGCGAGCCTGCCGCGTGCAGAACCGGACGCTTCGTGTACATCAACGCCTGGCGCAACATCTCGTCTTCGCCCATCGAGCAGGACCACTTGGCAGTCCTCGACGAGCGCTCGCTGGTGAAGCCAGACGACTATGTCCACGTCGATCTGAAGGGCGTGGGCTACGACGTGCTGCAATACGGCCTCTCCTCGCGGAACGCGGGCCGCCATCGCTGGTTCTACTTTCCCAAGATGGTTCGGGACGAAGTGCTCCTCTTTAAGCAGTACGACAGCGACTGCAGCAAGAGCGGGAGGTGTTGCTTCCACACGGCCGTGCGCGACCCGACTGCTCGCGCCGACGCCCCGCCGCGCGAGTCCATCGAGGTGCGTGCGATTCTCTTTTTTGCGAATCACGAAGGCCCAAACACCTGCCCGGTGCTACCCGCCGAGGAGGGCGCGACGGACGACGGCTGCGACGAGGCTCGCGCCCGCGAGGGCGCTACCAAGCTTGCCGGCGCGTGCACGTTTGTCAAGAGCAATGCCATGTACCGCGCAATGGTTCAGAAGCACATGAAGGCCGACTATGAGACTGGCGGCGCGCTGGCGGTGATTCGCAAGTTTGCGGACGACGAGCAAGGCACCCTTGGCCTCAAGAGTGCGAGCGCGGAGACGAAGGAGCGCGCGGCGCAGCTGGCGTTCGGCGCGGGGCTGGCGAAGCGGGACGTCGATGAGCTCTTCTGCGGCCCCTCGGCGGCGGTGCTCTTTCTGCAGTCGCTCCAGCAGTCGCGACTCGCCGCGGCAATGGCAGGGTGCGCCATCGGAGCGCTAGTGGCTGGCCGCCTCGCCGCTCGATAATGTGCGGCTCAGGGTCGTCCGTGTGTACGCGTCTCGTGTGAATTCAGTTTGCGACATCGATGGGCAATTTAAATGTAAAATAAAATAAAAAGTCACTCGATCTAAGATTAAGGGCGGCTCCTTTTTGTGCCTACCGCGAAAAACTCGACGGTTTTGGGCGCGGCAGACGCAGACGGAGCGCGCGCGCGTGACAGGAAGCTCTCGGCAGGTTGGGAAGCAAGCACGTTAACGGGGTGGATCCTACTAGCGCGAGATATTTTCTTTTTTGCACCGGGAACGCGGGAAGCCAATCAATCGCTGTCCGGTTTCTCTCCCTCCGCAGCGGGTGGCCTACTGGCCTGCTTGGCCTCCCACCCACTCGATGCGGGCTAGGAGTTGAGTTGAGTAGTGCATCAGTCATCGCATCTTGAGGAAACCCCGAACGATGCGCGTCTTTTCATGCAATTGCCCGCCGATATAAATACACCGATATAGCGCATATGATCGAAGCCGCCTCTTTTGGACCAGGGAAGGGCCCACGAGGCGAGGCACCGCGGTGCGCAACCCTCCCCTGCCACGCGCAGCACCGCTTCTGCGCGCGTCTGGGCCTCACACCCTCACCACACGGTGCCATAACGCACTCCTGCTGGATGTGCTTCTCTCCACTCCACGCAGGAGCCAACCCCGCCCTCTCTCGAGCGCCCCCTGGGGCCCGCGCGCCTGCCAACTCCTGCCCCCCCTGGTCCGCGCGCCTGGCTGAGGCGGCATGTCTGCGCACCGCAGGGCGACTGCGCGCAGGAGAGCCCATGCCGCCCTCGCTCTTCCTCTTCCTCTCAGCACTGCTCGTGTCCACCAGCGCGGCGGACATTGAAGAATTTGTAGTGGTGGAATGGACAGACCATACAACCTGTGCTGGAGCCGGTTTACTTGCTCTCGATCCAAACACCAACGACTGCAATAACGTTCCTCTGATTTGGCAAATTGTCCATCAAATATGCAGTACGATGGATTTGGCGGATGCGTCTCGTGTGGATCACATGGCTTTGTGTGCAAGCAGGTTATTGTGTCCTCCTCCTCCTCCTCCTCCTCCTCCTCCTCCTCCATCTCGCCGTCACCACCGCCGCCCTCGCCCCCGCCCCCTGCCCCGCCGCCACCGTCGCCGCCTGGCTGCGACGGTCGCACGTGGACCCATACGGTGAGCCAGCACGTATACGACCATAATACTGAGCGGCTTACGGGCGTCACAATCGAGGAATGCAAGATTGCATGCTGCAACGCTCAGGCGCGGTACGGCTTCGTCTGCCTCTCGTTTGACTGGTTTGTAAACGAGGGGAGCAGGTGCGATCTGAGCGACGAGGGGCCCTCTACTGTCGCCCTGACGGCCAACAGTGGAGCATATGACAACTACGCGCTAGTGCCCTTGCCGCCGCCCGAGGCAGGACAGGCGAACGGCGATCCCCACCTGATGCTGGCTCACGGAGGCAAGGCGGACTTCCGCGGCACCGACAAGGGCATCTACAACTTCCTCTCGGCCAAGAACCTCTCGCTCAACGTGATGACAGAGTTTGCCGACTTTTACCTGCACGACACGGACCACCCCCGACACAAGCTAGTGCACGGCTCCTTCCTCACGCAGGCGCACGTCGTTGCGAAGACCGGCGGCGGGCGCACTGTGCGCGCTTCGTACTGGGCGAGCAAGATCGGTCCGCTCAACATCGGGTGGATGAACGCGACCATCGACCGCCAGCAGGCCTTCGCGCTCGGGCCGCACACGACCAAGGTGGTCGACGATGTCTCGCTGCACATGGACTACTCCTCGCTGCATGTCACCACTGGCGAGTGGGAGCTTGCGATCACACCGCAGGCTGTCGAACGCTCGGTGGCGGGGCCCGTGCGGCGCATCGATGTGCAGATGACGCCACGCGTCGCCGAATCCCAGTTATCCGTGCCGCCCCACGGGATGATTGGCCAGTCGTGGGACGGCGACAACAAGGCAGTCTTCGGTGAGGAGGACGAGTTCCCTGTGCGCGGCGAGTACACCACGAGCGCGATGGCCGAGGGGGCTATCGAAGGCGTGCCGACCGACTACCTGATGTCCTCACCCTACGCCACAGACTTCAAGTACTCGCGCTTTGGCCTCAACCATGCCTCCCCGCGCGACGTGTCCAAGCTGACCGGCCGCGTCAAGGCAGCTAGCCCTCAGGCTGCTAACGGTGCCGGCGTCGTGGAGAAGGAGATGGAGTTGTCGGCAGGGCAGGCTTCCTGAGCGCGGTGACGTCCGCCGGCTGGGCCTCCCGCTCCATCCGGGGCGCGCTTTCTTTCGTTTGTTTGGCAGCGAGGCGTGCTGGCGCTACTCGTATTCTCTCTCTCGCATGGTGGGAGGAAGCGGCGCGGGCGGCGAGCGCACGAGGGTGAGGATCGGGAGGAGGGCGGAGCCGAGTGCGGCTTTGGGGAGGGTCAGGGGGAGAGGGCGGGGTGGGTTGGGGTGAGGCGGGTGCCGGAGGAGGCCCCGGCCTCTTCGGCGGCCCAAAAGGGTCGTCGCCGGCTGTGACTTTCTTGGTGCCAGTCCGAACCGTTCGCGGGGTTCGCGGGGCAGCCTCGCCCGAAAACCGGAGACACACACATGCTCCCCCCGCTATTCACCTCGACCGCCCCTCCGCCCGCGATCAGCGATTACTCCGTAGCCGGCGCTGGCTTCTTCACTTCCATCCGCATTCCTGCAGCACTGCTGGCTGCCAGCTCCCTCAGTGATGCCTTTCGCCTCGCGTCAGCGGCAAAGGATCCCAGATTCGCGACGCCGGCTTGGAAGAGGCTGACAACCACTTACACGCTCGTGATGCTGTTTGCCTTTGGGTGCCCTAACTACGACCGCGACGGGCGCTCTCACGAGCATTTTCGCACCGAATTACCCCTACCATAGGTGCGAGCTCATGACCATCTTCATGTCGACTGCCTCGTCGAATCGGCTTTTGTCGGGCCAGTTCGACCCAATGGCTACCAGTGCGATCGCCCTTCTGGTTCGCGAGTTTGAGTGGGAGTATGTGACGGTCCGTTGCCAGTTCATGACTGGCATGCTGGCGTATTCGGCGGGCCAAATAATCCGCATTGCATACGAGCTGCACGAAACGGTTCTTTTGGCACGCTCGGCAATGTGCTTTCTTGCCTTTGCAACTCTCAACATGCTCGCCTTCTTCAACTCTCACCTCGTCTACTATGGGTCGTACACACAGCTGTGTCGTCGCTTCGCTGTGTTGACTTCGGCACAAATGTTCTCGGGACGCGCACTACCGCTGCTCGCGATGCTTTGCCTCGCCGGCGCTTCGGTGTTTTTTGTAGCGTCCTTGGCGGACTCCGACAAGGATGGGAACGTGACGTACGACGAGTTGGTGAGGTTTCTCAAGCGAGGCATCGGGCATCGGGCAACTTGATGCCGGTGGGTGCAATGGCCAACGGTGCCGTCGTGCGACCCTATTGGGCTCAAGTAGTCCTCAGGTCGACTCAGGGGAGATTGAGCAGTCGAGCCGGCCCGCTGCGTGATCTATCATCCCCCCTTTCCCCGTCCGTTCTGTGTCCTCTTTTCCCGTGCTCTGAAATCATATGAACCGAAGCGGGGGTGCGAAACTCATATTCCAGAGCAGCTACCCCTCGCCCAACATGAATGATGGGGGGCGGTCTTCGGGAGGACTAGACGTCGGCGAGGCTGTCGCGACAACATCCTCGCCCATTGATGAGACTTCATTGAAGGGGGTTCGAGGGGCTCGCTCAGCTTGTCACATGGTCGGCTCGACTGTCCAGCACTTGTTGAACAAGACTGGGTGCTCGGATCGGTCCTCAAGAACGGTGGTGATGGCATCCCACGCGCCGAAGATCAAGAAGGAGGGCAGCAGCACGCAGAGGTAGAGAAAGCACATCACCTTCGGGGCGGGCGGGCGGGGGGGGTGGGGGGGGTGGGAAGGGGGGGTGCTACGGCTTACATCGCATCCCAACAAGGTAAGGCCGTTTTCATCGCGTCACGTCTGATACACCCCATCCCCCGTCCTTCCCGCTCCCACCAGACACCTTGTCGAAGCCGGCGACATCGATGTTTTTCTGGTGGCACGCGAGCAGGTAGAAGAGTGGCGGCCAACCGAACACAATCGGCGCGCCGGCGAATGCACCAAGGAGCGACTGGATTGCCCCAAAGCTGGGAACTGCGGTAGCAACAAGGAAGGAGGCGCCGATGACTACGATCGACAACACGAACCAGCGGGCGCGCGCCCCTGTGCCGCCCATGATGATGGGCGTCTTAGGGAAGAGCAGTCTGTAGATAACGTTCATGAAGGGAATGCCAAGGCACAGGTACGCCACGAGGATATGGAAGGCAACGAGCCCGCCCACGAGGGACGTTCGCCAACCCTGCGCAGCGACGGGCGGCGTCAGGTCGGCAGACGCGGATAAGAGTGCGACCGCGGCGGTCGGCGGCACGGGGCGTAGAGTGTGCAGCAACGCTTGAGGGCCGGTCTAGAGCTCGTGTAGCAGATGTCTCGGAAGAAAAGGCGGGTCTTGAAACGTGGAAGAGTCACCTCCTCGAGCGAGTTTGGAAGAAAATCTTCGACCCCGACGCCTTGCAGGCCATACGCTGTCACGACGGTGAACATGTAGGTGAGCGTCATGAGGGCGTACGAGGTAGATATCGCCTTCGGCGCGTCGCGCTCGTCTTGCATTTCAGCAATCACCTCGCAAAAGATGTCCTGTCCCTGGTACGCAAAGACGATCGCCGTGAGCGCACCTGACCAACGGGCCGGACTTGCAATGAGCGTGGAGGTGGACTTTGAGGTGAGGGCATCTAGTGGGCGCGGCGGTAGCAGCCTCGAGTTTCTGAACCTTCATCTTTATCTCGACTAAATCTTAGTCGTGCTCACCGAAGAAGTCGATGAAGCCGGTTTCCTTCGGCGGCCACAGGGTAGTCTGCGTCGTTGCATCGCCGCTCCCGCCCTCGTTGTTGGCGGCGTCCACAAAGAGCTTTGCGATGATGATGCAGATGGCGGTGATGATGGCGATGGTCGACGCGCCGCACAGGCTCGAGATTTCGACAAGCGTCGTAAACTGCGAGGCGGAGAGGCGTCAGAGGTACAGTCGCGGGGAAGAGCTGAGGCTGCGATGGCAGCAGAGTGTATCACAGCGTCTGGCGACGGCCTTGAAACGGTAATGACGCGCGCAAGGGAATGCATCTTTAGAAGTGCTCGGGATACCTGCATTGGCAGCACGACCGCCAGCGCCATGATTGCCGTCCATTCCCAATCACATATTTGCGCATTGGGCGCGATGAAGATGAGCGACTTGCCTGCGGTGAGCAAGTAGTAGGGCAGGAGCAGGCCCCAATTGGCCACAATGATGGTACGAGAGATGGCACCAAAGCAAGGCCCGACGGTGCGCACGGCCAGGTCACCATAGCCGCCAGCGCCCTCCCCTCTATACAGCTCTACTCTGCAGCGCGCAAGCAGGACCCCGGAGTAGGTGCTGCAAAAGGCGAACACCATCAGCGTTGTTACACTTGCAATCCACCCCAGGCGCGCTGCTGCCCACGGTAAGCCGAGGGCACCGACCCCCATCACCTATGGATCACACGCCGGGGTGCGGTCGCCGCGCTGCAGCGCCCCGCCGGCCAGAGTAGAAGACTGCAAGTGGGTCCAATCCCCACCAGCGCGAGTGCTCACAGCCCGCCACCCTTGCACTGCCGAGCGTCAGCTGGTCCTCGCAGCGATGCGAGGCCGTCGCCGCGATCGCATGCGAAACTCGCCGGGAGACACACACGCCAGCGAACCCGCCCGTGTAAAGGGTGGTGGCAGGTGAGCATGGCGCCCCCCACTGCGCACTAGCTGTCTGTGCCCCGCTCACCTCTCCGAGGATGACCAGCCCTGCGTTGAACCACGTCGCTTCAAAGCTGGGCTTATCGCGCGAGAGGCGGGAATCGGCGGTCTTACGGCTGGACGACCCAGGCGTCGTCGCGCGCGAGCTCTGCTGTCCCGTCTGCATGGTTGGAGCGCGCAATGCCGTCGGGGGACGGACGACGTCACGATTGACAACGGGTTTGAACGAAAATCGCCCGGGGTGGGTGTCGCCAGTGGCGCCGGCGACCGCCCAGCACGGCGCGGCGGGTCCACAACCGAGGCGCTCGGCACAAAATGCGCCTACCTAGGCGGGCGTTCACCCGCCCTGAATCGCGACTCGCCGCTTTCCTCCCTGGCGAGTACAGACCACGCCTGCTATTCACAGCACAAGCTTTGCCTGGCTCCCCCCCCTGTGAGAAAGTGAGGCGTGGTCTGTCCTCCCCGTGCTTTCTCCCTTGTCGGTAGGTAGGTAGGTAGAAAGGTGAAGAACAGCCAGGCTCGGACTGGACACCAACGCGGTATCGGTGGACGCGTCGGTAACCAGAGAAAGAAAAATACTCGCTGCCCCCGAAACGGTGGCGAGATGCTGCTCGGGCGACTTCGATCGACGAGTGCGATCAGCCGCCGATCGTTTGCCCGCATCGCCCGTCGCGCGTTCCATCGGCCGGTTGCTTGCACGAGTGCTTCCACCGCCGCCGCCGCCGCCGCCGCCGCCGCCGCCGCCGCCGCCGCCGCCGCTGCCGCCGCCGCCGCCGCCGCCGCGGTGCAGCACGGCGCTCCAGCATCTGCGGAGACCGGGCGCCGACGGGTCACCGATGACTACTCCCTTGGCGCGGAGCTTGGATCGGGACACTTTGCGACCGTCCGACGCGGGGTCTGTCTGCGCACTGGCAAGGAGGTCGCCGTCAAGATAGTGCCCAAGACGATGCAGACGGCAGAAAGCATCCGCCACGAGTGCACCGTGCTGCAGCGCGTGAGCATCCACAAGCGCGTGGCCTCGCTCGAGGCTCTCTATGAAACGGACGAGCACTTTTACATCGTGATGGAGTACGTGTCGGGCGGGGAGCTTTTCGATCACCTCTGCGAGCATGGCGCGTACTCGGAGCGGGAGGCGGCGACTCTCATCTCCGAGCTGGCGGGGGCGATTGCGATCTGCCACGCGCAAGGCGTGGCGCACGCCGATATCAAGCCCGAGAACCTCTTGCTGACCCACGACGGCCACGTCAAGCTGGTCGACTTCGGGCTCTCCTGCCAGTACGTCAACAACGAGCGCGTCGACCCGAACGTTGGCGCTCGGCTCTAGATGCGGAACACCCCTGCTCCAACACGCCCTCGAGAGGACCGCATTCGGCTGCGCTCTAGGCGCGTCGGGCACGGCAGCGTACTGGGCGCCGGAGGTCTGGGGCTCTGGGTCGCCGGGGCTCACAAACGACATGTGGGCGCTGGGTGTGCTCACGTACATGCTGCTCACCGCGAGTCACCCCTTCGACGACGAGGGCCAGGCGAGCGACGACCAGATCCGCCACAACATCCTCCACCGGCAGGCATCCTTTGCAGACTGGACCGCTTCCGCGTCGGCGCGGCAGTTCGTCGAGATGCTGCTGCGCAAGGACCCGACGACGCGGCTCTCAATCGAGCAGCTGCTGCAGGACGCCTCTCCCGCCGCCCCTTCACCCTCCCCCACGCTGCCACGACCTCCTATTCCGCTCCTCTGCCTCTCTTGCACACGCCTCCACCCTGAGAATCCATCCTCGCTCTCTGCAGCACCCGTGGATCGTTGGAATGGACGACGACGCTCGGAGCCAGAGCACCACCGCCGCTGCCACGTCGGGCGCGCGCACGATGTGGGACCGGGTGCGTCAGCTGCAGCGGGCCGACCGTGCGGATGTCCGCACGACCCTGACTGCTGTCCGCGTTGGTGGGACGCCTGCAGGTGCACCAACTGCAACGCGACCAAAAGATGCGCGCTTTCCGAGCGCACACCTCGCGGCTACGCGCCGCATGCTTCTCAGTGCTGCTGCAGCAGCAAGCGGCCGAGCGGGCCGAGCGGGCAGACGATGCGAGCGAGGGGCCCCATGTGCGCCGCTGGCTGTCGGCTCAGGCGGGCGCGCGGGCGCTGCGGAGGCACGAATCGCTGCGCGGGCCGATGCTCGAGGGGGAGCTACTCACGAAGACGTTCCGCGTCTTTGACGCCGACGGTGAGGGGACCACCCCTGGCCACGGCTACGCGACTGGCTGCGCGCGCTGACGCCTCGTGTCCTGCAGGCAAGGGGTACATCTCTACCGCCGATCTCGACCGGGTGCTCCGGCGCTTCGGGCAGAGCAGCGGCAGCGAGCAGCTCCTGCAGGGTGTGACTGAGGGCGACCGCGAGGGGCAGCGCATCACGTACGGCTCGTTTGTGCGGATGATGACGCACACCGTCAAGCAGGCGGGGCGTCCCAACACACTTCCACCTTCCAGAAGACACTCCCCGACCTCCGCCAAACCACCACCACCACCACCACCCTGCTGCGCCGTCTCCACCCGAAGGCGCTTGACAGTGGCGACTACATCTACAAGCCCGGCGACCCCGTGCGCTACTTCTACGCGCTGCTTGCTGGCGAGGTGGAGGTGGTGCAGCCACGGGAGGACGGCGGCGAGGACGTTCTCACGAGGCTGGGCGCAGGCGATCTCCCCATATCTCCCCCCATCTCCCCATATCTCCCCCCATCTCCCCACGTTCTCACGAGGTTGGGCGCAGGTGGGCGCTCTTGCCCCCCCTCACCCCTCCCCCTGTCGTGCTCACTCTCACGAGCGCCAACAGGCGAGTATTTCGGCGAGAACAGCTTGCTCGAGGGGCGGCCCACCCGCTCGGCGGCCATCCGCTGCAGGACGCCGGTGGAGGTGCTCGAGGCTGCGCACGCACAGCCGGAGCGGGTGGCACATGTTGCTGACGTTGCACGTGATTGCCGCAGGTGCTCAAGCTCTCCAAGGAGGACTTCGAGGCCGGCTTTGGCGGGCACCGTGCCGCGGGCGGGCCCGATCAGAAGCGCCAGAAGTTGATCGCTTTCATCCAGATGGTGAGCAGGCACGAGAGGGGTCCCCACCGCTGCCCCCCCTCTGACTATTGCACTGATGTCTGTGGGGATGCCTCATCAGTGCAATAGTCACTCCCTGAGAAGGCACACACCGCCTCGTGTGCAATGCCCCCGTCTCTTTCGCGAGAGCGTGTGCCCATGGTGCTAGGACGTGTGTCACACTGACTGACTGACTGACTGACTGACTGACTGACTGACTGACTGACTGACTGACTGACTGACTGACTGACTGACTGACTGACTGACTGACTGACTGAGCAGGCAGCAGCACCGCGCGCTCGAGGAGGGGGAGCCCGTGTTCTGCGCGGGCGACAAGGCGGACAAGTTTTACATCCTCGCGTCGGGCAGTCTTGTGGTCGTCGAGCCGCCGGCCGAGGGGGCGGCGGGATTAGAGGCGCACGGGGGGGACACGGCAGACGCCTCGCCGTCGCTGGCATCCCGCCGTTCGTCGGGCAATTTGCCGCTCGGGCGCATCCGTGCGCGCGAAGGGTTTGGCGAGATGGCGCTGTTGAGCAAGCGCGAGGCGCGCCGCACTGCAGTCGCTGCCATGAGCGTGGCGCGCTGGTTGCCACATTGTGCGAGCCGTGAGTGCTTGTAGGTGCGCAGCAAGACGGTGCGTTGCGCGTCGCCACGGTGCGCGCATCACTCGGGGGGGGGGGGGGGGGGGGGTCGCCCTCTTCCCTTTTTACCCCCGGGAGCCCTGGGGCTTGGTGCCAAAACCTCCAAATTTCGGGGGAAGACTTTTTCCCCCTGATTGCGAAATCCAACGGGGGGGGCTCCGGAGCCCCCGGGGGGGGGGGGGGCCCCGGCGTCCCCTTTACAAGGGCCAAGGGGAACAAGGGCCCCAAAACTTCCAATGGCTTAATTAACCGCGGAAACGGGCCAAAAAATCCTCGGGCCAAACACCTTTTGTGCGCGGGGAAACTGTGGGGGGGGGGAATA